CTTTGACAAGTTCAAGTTTAACCTCGTGCCTTTTTATTTAAGGCGTACAAAGAAGAAGCACTCATCCCTTAACCTTCTTCGTGGAGGATCTGTAGCTATCGCAATCGAATGATTGTTTCTGGGAAACCAGGCACAATTCGCCGGTGGAAAAACGAAAAAAAGAATAGATGGTCTCGTATAAAGCAATTTCTCTCTCTTCCCTGCCCCCTCCCTCTTTCTCTCTCTCTCTTTCTCTCTCTCTCTCTCTCTCTCTCTCTCTCTCTCTCGGCCTCTCGTTTTTCTGCTCTCTTTTATTTGTCCGTCGGTTTCAGGCTTTGCAGGATGATATTTTACAAGCCTTAATTTGGGCCACAGCTGCCAGAAGTATCTTTTTCCATTGCCTATGCTTCAACGTGCTTGAAAATGTCATATAGAGAACGAGATTTGTGCGAATAGTTGCGTTTAGAAACGACAGACTAGACTGGAGCGCGGATAGGTGATATAAACAAATGTAACATAAACAAAAAGTTCCGTAAACAAATATTCTTCTGCAAATATAGAAAATAACTTCTAGTATGGATGATAAAAAATATAGTTTCGACGAGAATCTCTTGCAAAAATAGAAACAAGAAAATGTTTTTATCTAAAATGTCAATGAGAGAAAATACTTGAAGATAAATACATAACTGAATAAGATTAAATTTATAGTTTAATCAATTTACAGTTTTTACAGAAATTATCAAATTCTCTATTAAAAATTTTGAAAAAAACAATTCCAAGAAATTTTCCTAGATATAAAATTAATCGAAGTAATCTTGTATCAAATATTATAATGATGTATTTTATGCTTTAAACATAATTCTTAAATTCTTAAATTAATTTAATTTGAGAATATTACTCTCTTAAAATGAATCAATGACTTCAGTGCCATACTTATAACTGAATCAGCGAATATTTAATTGTTTTTCAATAATAATACACTGATTTACTTTTAGAGATTAAGATTCTTTACAAGTGAATCCGATAGTGGATCTACAGGAAATCATAATCTTTAAAAATGAATCAGCGTATTACATACTAAAAATTTATTATATATATATATATATAAATACTAAAAAACGATAAATATTCGATGATCAGTTGTAAGTAGCACTGAAGTCACTGATTCGTTTTTAGAAAGTAGAGCTTTCAGAAGGAACATATTCAATTCAAGAATTGAGTGAAATGTTTGTTGTTACTCAAACTACATCAACAATTTAATCACATTCATTGATGACTAATGACTCGTTAATAATTAATTCCCATCAGGGCATTCACAGCGATTTATATAGTCTAGCTAAAGAGAGAGAAACAGAATACGAGATTAATTTGCTCGGAGATCGCAACGGGTGCGAAAGTTCAATAGGAAGATCATTATGTTGCCCTCGCGCTCGATACTGACTGCTTCAATCCAGTTAGAAGAAATACTTTGTATATAAATCGCACTTTATTTTGAATCATCGAGCGCTTTGTTTTTAAATCGTCGGTTTTGAAAAAAACAGTTCATCAATATTTAATAGATCGCAAGATCTACTTCGAAAATCTGGATTCAATTTATTTGTTAATTAAATGCAATTCAATTTTTAAGCTTTAGTTATTTTCGGAATAATTATGTTTACAGGAACTTGTAATTCGCGACGCATATCTTTTTTGAATGAGGTTTACTCTAAATACATTATTTTATTTTATATTTGGCAAAAAGACATGAGTGTGTGTAGATACACTCCAGGTACATTCCAAGTCAAAAGTTTGGAGAAATACTTTTAAAAAATTGACATTTTTACTGTGATTCTCAATAAACACTAATTAATAGTAATATGTGTATAACATCAATATTAATTTCACATTCAATATAAATGTAATATAATATAACACGTAATGTTACATAAATTACATTGTTATGTTTGAAATTATACATTGACATTATGTTTTTTTTAGCTGGAGTTTATATACATATTTACTCAAATATTCAAATTTTAACAACTCTTGAAATTTTAGGATTACTCAAATGTATTCATCATAATGATTTTTAATAATAACTTTCAGATTCAATAACATTATTGAATGTAAGAAATTATTATTAGAAACATTGTTATGGATATTTAAATGAGCAATTCTCAAAATATCAATTTTTAAAAAGTTTTTCTAAACTTTTAGTCTGGAGTAAAATATGTATCTACACACAGAACTCGATTCCTTAATTCGATGGTATGTTCTGTCATATTAACCGGTACTACAATTATGAATCTCATGTTAAAGATCAAATAACTCCGAGGGGTCGACAAACTGAGCTACTATTACAAATAATTTCAATCTACAAAATAAATTTCAAGGGTATGAATAAATTTATAATACATGATCGCCAATTACCTGTTGGACGTTGGGAATTTCTTCAAGTTCTCGAATTTGACTAGCGATTCCTCGAAATATGTTATATATTTTCAACGTACTTTCGCGAATTTCAAGGCTACTTTATATAAGTAACACGTATTTTTTCTCTTCGCGTCGAAAGAGGCACGTGACGTCTAGGCGACTGACTTCGCGCGACAACGACACGACACGAAGACGACGACGACGTATGGTTGCCTTTGAGAACCCCTCCGCCTCTTGCCCTAAAACTCGCTTTCAGTTCATCCTCGTCTTTCGTTTCCCTACCGAGAGAGCGGTATCTTGCTTTCTCCCTTCCCCAAGAAAGGGTCCCCCACCATTTTCTCCGAAGGGGAATGAAGCCCCTTCGATGAGCAACCATGGGTAGTGATGGCACTTCAACCTATTCAGACACTGATGAACAACACTCGAAATATATTTTATTTCTAAACTCTGACCAAACTTTTAATTTGGACCGACGTAATTCATCCCGCATTCATTCCCGCACGTTATATTCGTTTTTTTTAATTATATTTTAATTCATTAAAATTTTATTAATTTATTTTATTTAATGTATTTTATTTAATTTATTTTATTCGTTCCTAATAAATAGTAAATGTACACATTTCTAACTTATTTTTACCTTTTTGAGATAAGTAAACGTATAACGCGCGATAAATACACGAAGTAATCTTTAATAATAAAATAATTAAAATAGCTGTTGATAAGATTAGATTTTTGTATGCATCATTATCTCTTCTCACGTATTTACTTGCATTTATGTTACTTTTTACACATATTAATGAAATTTAATTTATTATATACTTTTTTCTTATATTTTTTTATAAATAATTACATATTATAATTATTTAATATCTATATCTCTCTCAGTTCGTTTTCTTGACTTTCCTTTATTATTATTGCTCATTACAAATTAAGATCTTTTTATATTAGGTGTTGGAATTAATTCGTAGCGTTTTACAAGTGATGGGAAGTACTTTCATTAATGTATTTTTTAATGCTCATGTGAAATAAATAACATTCTTTCATTAAAAAACGCTACGAATTAATTCCAACACCTAATACATATTTCTGTTCTATTCTTAATTCCTTTTATTCTCAAATTTTTAATGTCATTTTTAATCATTAATATTAAATTTTCACGAAATTCAAAATTCATAATCATTTTATTGAATAAAAAAAATTTCGCGGAAAATTTAAGCGATATTGCACCGCAGATCGGGCGATAAAAAATTTGAATAATGTGGATTTTTATAGGGTTTCGATGTCATCACTAGCCATTGGGGGATTTCCGACACGGAAGGGCCGTATCGATTATTTCTCGCACCTCGTCACGTTACCTACGCTGAATATTGCGTGAATTTATGCGCATGACTGACGTACGCATGTTAGTTTCGAATTAATCACAGGAAACGACGCATTTTGCTTCTTAATTGACGGTTACAGAGAATGCAGATAATCTCACGGAAGGGGAGGAATAAAAATTCGATAAAAGTTCAAAAAATTAAAAAAAAAGAAGGAAAACGAGTTTTAAATTTCCCAAATATATCATGAAAAAAGAGGGATAAAAATTTGATAAATATTTGAAAAATTCGAAAGACGGAGGAAGATAAATTATTTTTGGATTTACATCAACGCTTCGTTGCTGAGCTTGCATGAGTCAGACTTTCGTTATCCATCATATTGAAATTTGCTTTTAACCCTCCGTCTGCAATCTGGGTCAGCTTGCTTTTGGCACAAGCAAAATTTCACTTTTAATTTCTTTCAATTTTCAATTTTTATTAAATAAGGTTTTAATATTTCAGTTGAAAAGCTACATTTAGTAAGAGAGATGTTATTAAAAATAATTCTGAATTTTTCTACATTTTTTGAATACCTAGAATAGTAAAAAAATTTTTGATTGGTTAAAAAAGATTCAGATTGCAGACAGAAGGAGTGAAAATATGAATGCAGACAAAATTAATAATATTCATTATTCGCGGATTTAGCATTGCTATAATTGCTAATGTCATGCACATGAAAGTAGATATAAGATATTATAAAGTGAGATTGTTATGATTATTACGAAATAGAATGCATGTGTATGTATAATTAGTAATAACATTTATATTAATAACAATAACGTAATAGCATGTCCTGTACTTCTTGATTGTGAGTGCAATGCTTGATAATTTCTACGATAAAATTCAATGATTCGTATTCATGAAGCGTATTTAAACATTTAATGGTATTAATAAATAATTCTCTGCGTAATAAGCAGACAAAGAACACACATTTCGGTATAACTACGGACTTATTGCATATATTATTGTATGCAATAAAGTGTATTATTTCCTCGTTACACGCGTTGCTTTTATGAAAAAGTTTAAATTAATTCTCTGATAGAGAATGAAATTCACTCACTGTGCGTAATGAATGTATATAGTTCTACAATTTAATATAAACAAATATAATAAAAAAATATAGTGCTCGCGAGTATAACAGAATGATCGATACATAAAATATACCGGTAAATAAAATATGCAAAATATAACGGAGAAATATTGATGGAACAAAACGCGGTAATGTCGTGAATTGAATAGGCAAGTTCTTACCTACGCAATTGGGTAACTTGGTAGCGGTCTCGTTCCACTTGCCATTCTTACATTCGAGCGTTCTTTTTCTCTCCTTGCTGTCGGGAAACACGCTGCCCGACTTGCACAAGAATGTCCGTGAAGTCAATGTACCGTTCGACACGTAACTTCCGTTCGGCGCCAAGACCTCCGGACAGCCGAGCACTGCAAAACGTATAAGTTCATTTCCACCTTGTCTTCGTAGTTAACACGTTGCTCTACTTTAAAGGGCGATATCGCGTCGCCTTTCAGAATTTGCAGCATTTTCCTAGGTTCTTTACGTAATTTCCGAACATTTAAACGACAAACGTTAGCGAGTTATTAAAAGTTTGAAACACTGAAATAGTTAAAGTAGCTAATGGCATTTCAAGAAACTTTTAAATTGGTAAAAGACTTGAAAAGTGGTCTCGGTTGCGAAAATTTTAAAATTGAATTTTATGTTCATTCGGTAATATCTTTGATTTTTTGAGATGTCCGCACTCGAGGATAAGAGAAGAAGAAATTTATTAATGTTCGCACACAGAAAGAAATAAGATTATAAATTCTACCGTTTTCGAAAAAATAAATATTTTATAACAGTCCATTATCATGCAAAGAAGCTTCTTGAAAGATAAGTTTAATATTATCGAGAATACTGAAGTATTGATTATATAATAACATAGAAGAAGTACGTATAATTTACTTTTAGAAAAATTGAAAATATCGATAGGTTAGACATACTTTGTTATAAACTCCAGAACTTATCCAATAATTGCTGAAACTATTAATTAATGTTAATGCTAATTTAGCCTGGATAATCTGATTGTCTTAATTTTGCGTGGGTCTGATTGGTAAAATATACAGTAAAAAACATTTTGTATTTGTATTAAAACAAAAAGTTCTCATTAAAATTGTAATAAATTTTTAACATATTTGAGTGTTAATTTAATACAATGTGTTAAGATAATTTAATGTGATTGTGTTATTTGAACATTTTGTGTTAAATTGATATTCAACTTTTCTTAATGTTAAAATAAAACAGTCTATGAATCTATGAATAAATAAAACATTAAAATAATAAATAAATATATAAATAAATATATAAAATATATAAATATAAATATATAAAATAATAAATAAATAATTAAAATATATTAAAAAATGTAAATTTTAAGAAAAATGAATAAAATATCTTAATTTAACGTACTATAAATGTTAATTTTACTGAAAAAGTATGCTTTCACACATAATTTGCTTATAAATTGTATCGGTGTTATACTTTTGTATTAATTTTTGACATAATATTTGTGTTACTTTTTAATATACTTATTCAATCTTATATTAAAAATGTATATTAGGTATCTGAAGAAAAGATTAGAATTGAAAATAAAAGTTTTCTTATTTTATGTTCATTATTTTTTAAAAACATGAATATTTCTCATTGAAACAATTTTTGAAACAGATTCTAAATCGCCAAAATTTGTGTATTAGTTTTAAATACAATATAGAAAAGTTTCTAATTCTTTCATAATTTTTCATTTTGTTAAAAAGTATGTGTAATATTATCTTAAATTAACACAAAAATTTGGATGAGCTTTTAACACAAGTTTTTTAAATATGCACCTTCGCTGAGATTATTCCCGAGTTAACCGTTTCGTAACAATACATGTGTTCGTGACATTTCTCTCCCATGTTTTCCGAATTCTTTTTTTTTTACCTTGATACTGCAGCAAAAAGCCCCGAGCGTTGTAAAACCTCTTTGAAGCGACAAAGTCGAGGGTCAACACGTTCGAATACGAGACAACTCGCACACCCGCGGCGGTGCCGCAGAACTCGAAGAGAGTGCTGCCGCTATCCCGCACTCTCACGATGTCCATGCAGTTTCCATCAGCATCTGGACCTGCGATTTATTCGTGATTTCTACCTCTAGTTTGTTTGTGAACCGCGTGAAATCAGACGCACAGGGACGTTTATTTTTTCGACGTGGCGATCGACGTGGCGATCAACGTGATACCGTAATCTGATTGGTGTCATATTTACGCTTGCGATGCACTGTTTGTGTGTAGTGAACTAGTTATGTGTTAGCAAATCGTTATTTATTTCGCAGCTTCGTAAGAGCTAAAGTGGATCGTTGAAATCTACGTTTTAAATGAAGATCGTAAATTTTTCGATAAAATATACAATGTCATATCGAATGTTGCCCAAACATCGTATGCATGTTTTAAGACTTTATTCAAGTTCGTGAATCTCTCTCTATTTAAACCACAAGTTATTTTCATCGTAGTGAGAAAGAACTGAACGCGTCGGATTCGTTTTCCAAATAAAGCTAAATCTGTTTTTGGTTCCAATGTGAGCAATATAATTTTTATCAGTTTAACTGATCGCGCTCTGACGGATGGATTTCGGTGTTGAGAGATTAAAACGTGAACTTACCACGGATATTCAAGTCGTGAAATGTTAAAATTATCCTCTGATCATTAAATGTCCTGAAAGTCCACCCGCATGTTTCTCCAATGTAGTATAGAGGGTAACCCGGGGTGTTGAGGTAACCGCCATCTTCACTAATCACTTTCACCTGCTGATTGCAGTATCGTTTAACTGCAACTTCTACAATGAAACATTATTCCTTCATATATGATGTGGTGATACAACAATTCACTTATGGGCATTGCCAGGATTTTATTTAGGGAAAAGGCCAAATTAGAGTTGAAATTTTTGAGGAGGGGGAGAGAAGTCGGGAAGATAGTCGGGTTGTATGAATTATTGAATTTTTTTTGTTTTATAATTATTTTCAATTAATTATTGGTATATTAGATACAGATAAATCACAAAATCATAATTTAATTTATTAATAATAATTTACTTTACTTTTTTTTTATTAAAATTGTGAACTGATTCTTCGAACTGAAAAAAAACTTAAATTTATGACACCATCTTGGATTCTCGAAACATGTTTCTATAACTGTCACTTCTTTCTTTCTCAAAATTTCTTATGAATACTCATTAAGTATAGTTCGTTAAGACGTTTTAATTGTTTTTGTTCTCCTTTAAGGTCTAGAGAGGCTAGGACCCTCCCTGCCTTCTCCCTGGCTACGCTCATAAATCCACTTATCCATGTAGCGTAGAAGTTTGCAACAACATTTGCAATGTTATTACGACATTGCTAAAACTGTACAATGTTCTTGCAATATTTACTAGAATGATCTATGCTGTATGGATTATATAATATAGGTGCATTCGGAGAGACGCTATTAGCGCGTTATTTGTGTCATTTTATCTTTATCGTTCATTAAACATAAAACAAAAATGGTATGACACAAATAACGCTAATAGTGTTTGCTCAAATGCACTCACAGTGCAATTTTGTTTCACGAAATTGGGTTTCAGTGTTTTAGGAAGAATATCTGGAAAACAGAGATTTATGTATTTTCCGCAAAATGAAATAATCTTTCATGCGTATTTGTAAAATTAACGAAAAATCATAAATTATAGTTTAATAAACACACATACATACAGTCTTAGCCATAAGTATAAGGCATCTTTGATTTATTGCATTTTCTTGGAAAAGGTGATAATAAAAATCAAAAGCAAATTAACAAAATATTATTATAAAGATAAACATTACTTTTTAATAAAATTGTTTATAATAAGTTTTATATGTAATTTATTTTTTGTTAGATATAAAATGTTTACGTCAATTTGTGGGGATGCTTTATATTTTAGACTGTACCAAAGTTACATACATGTATGATGTATAATACATGTATCGACGTTTTAAATTTGAATAATTTTCGATGTGTCACGTGCGTTTGATAAATCGTATTAATGCTATTCTGATGTCTGCCCTTTAATTAAATTTTTTTTATTATTAATAATAAATCATACTGACAGAGACACAATTCTATCGTTGTGAAAAGAATTATTTTCGAGGGGATGGATGAATTTTGTTGCCATAAGGCTGCCATTAACATCTGCATTTGTTGCGGCCTATTTGTCGCAATGTGATACGATTGCACGAATCCCTTATAACGTGTAGAAAGCCAGGAGACGAGGGTGTCCTTGCCCCAGTTTCAAGGATAGGGGTGCCATTTCTGGATGGAGGGAGAGCTTAGATACGCCGGTGGCGGTAATAAGGGCGATGGAGGGGAATTTTGGTCCTCCGTCCTCCCTTCTATCCCTCTACCATCCCTCAATGTGCACCGTTCCCGATATTCTGCCAAGTGTGACGGCCTTCGCATGCTTTGCATTCAATCGAGATATTGAATGTTACGAATGATTTCTGATACCGATGTTTCATTAAGGGACAATTTCATTTGATAACCTTAGTTGTGAAAATTTATTCGATATTAGGAAATTTGAATCGCTGAGAACTTTTACAAATGCAATTTTTTGAAATTCTTAACTTGATTAATATAATACTGTTTAAAATTTATATAAGTACGTTTATAAAAACGTGATTTTAATACAGTTTTAAATAATTTATAGTATATTAGTGTAGTATATAGAATTATTATATATTTTATATAATAAATAAATAATAACTTTATTATTATGTTATTTTACTACAAAATATTCTATTAGTTTAATATACAATATTAATATGTATTATAATATACACTGAGAGAAAAATATTTGATATTTATGATTAAAATTTGATATTTATGTTACCATAATTATGATGATTATTGATAGAATGTTAGTAAAAATAACTATATGTATAGTTTTATCTACAAATAATTAACTGAAAATAATTGTAGTTATCATTATCATAAAAATGGTTGCAATTACTATAATTTAATTATAATTTATAGGTATTTTTGGAACAACCGAAAAGACTATAAATTATAGTTAAATTACAATAATTACAACTATTTTTATGATTATAATAACTATAATTATTTTGGGGTTGCCAACTATATATTTGTTGATATAGAACTATACATGTAGAGTTATTATTACTAACATTTATAGTACAATAATAACCATAATTACAGTTTATCATAAATATAAAAAATTTCCCTCTCAGAGTAATCATAATATAATATCTAAATACTTGATTATTATAACTACATACATTCACTAATCAAACTTTAATCGGTATCATACATAAATGTTCTAATTATGTATCAAAATATTTGATTATAATAACCAGAAATTGATTTCTCTTTACTTTGAAATTGAGCTCTGTTTACTCCCACTAAAATTTGCTTAATTAAACATATTTTGTTAATTCAACACAATGATGGTTTTTTTCGTATATCATTAATTTTGTGACATAATATGCACTTACGTGATTTCTCGTTTCTACGATGCATAAGGTTCATTCATTTCGAGAAATGGGAATCTAAATCGACGAATGAAGAATCCCCAGGAAACGTTACGCTTCCCTCGCAAGGGAGCTTCCACAGAACGTGCGATTCTACAGAATGACGGGATTACATGACCTTTCCGCGTGACATCGCCGCGCGTTGCGCTCGAGCGCGATGCATTATACGCGATCGGACACACCGTTTCTTGTTGCCGGGAGAATTTCAGCGCATATGCCAGCAATCCCACGGTCAATAAGGATCGATGCATCGCCGACAGCTGGCGGACAACAACCAACGACGAGATAGAAATCTGAAGCCGATTTCGTCGGACACGCGCTACGTCACGTGCCGTGCATTTCTCCGCCCCCGCGTGACCTGTGCCCGGGACGTTTGCTTTATCGAGCTCGTCGATCATTGATTGCGCACGCCCGAATGTCGATCGCGAACACAGCGGAGAAATAGACCTGGCTAGCATTCCGCCGATAAATAAAACAGATTCGTAATACCGTAAATATCTCATATGAGCCGGATATAGTTGGTTTTATATGAACATCATGTTATTGTTCGGAATTCACAACAATTAACAGAGAATTAAAGTTAATTTGGAGAAGAATTACGAAAAAATTCAGAGGAGATTTGAGGCACTTGAAAGATTATTCGAAGTATTATATTTGCATGAGAATGTTGGTACACGGAAAGAATGGTTTCGCTAGTATTTAAAAATTTAACTGAATACGAAACATTTTTGAAAATTAACATTTTTGGGATTACTTATTCAAATATCCATCATACTCTTTAAAACTTTTAAAATGAATTTCATTTTAAAGAGTGAAATCTTAATCTTAAAGATTGAAAATTGAACTACTTTTTTTCAAGACCGGCTCAATTTTCTTTAGACTGAGATTTTATTCCAAAGAATTTAAAGAGTAATGTGTTTTTTAAATAATAATTTTTTAATCCAATAACTTATTAAAATATATAAAAGATTAAATCAGATACAGATCTGAAAATATAATTAATTTCAGGCAAAACGTTTAGAAATACTTTTTGAAGGTTGCCATTTTGGGATTACTTGTTCAAATATCCATAACAACGTATTCTTTAATAATTGTTATTGAAAATTTGAAGAATTATTGTTAAAAAAACATTGTTATGGACATTGGAGTTAACCTCAAAGGTGTTAATTTTTAAAAAGTTTCCGAATTTATATGATCTGGAGTCTATGTTGAGAGAGCATCATGATAACGCTGCAAAAAATATGTTTGATATTCTAACAATTAACTGAATCTGATATAATTATTCAGTTCGATGGTTGTAATTATTCAGTCCATGATTATTTTTAGATCTGTTATTTTGCTAAATTTTTCGACTTCAGCCAAATAATTAATTAATATTAATAAAGTATTTTGATAATTGACTTTTTGATAAATATAGAGTATCTTTGGGATTTTAATTTTTTTACTAAGCTCGAGCAATAATTAATCATTAATTTTAATATGATAAAATATTTGATATTATAAAATATTTGACATATTATTATTGAGAATATACTCACCAGGTATGCACGCGTATTTTAATAAAATTTCACCTGGAACCCATGAATGTGCTCCTGGATGTTCGATAGTCACGTTGTAGCGACAGTGTTTTTGACCAGAGCACCTGAATCATAAAGGTATTAAAAATCGATAAATAACAGAGTAAATTGATTCGAAAAAAGAATATTGATACGGTTAGACCAACATTAATTTAATTCTTTCACACTGAATCTTCTACTATCTTTTATGCTAAACTGCTAAAAATGCATCTGATATACTTTCCTTTATTCCCGCGTAATAAATTGCAATTTATGCAAGGTTTCGCTTTCGGATACTATCGATTGTCCGACAGCCTCCAATTAAATAAATGGCGTTGGTCATTAGGGGCTGTGAAACGCGCTGACAAAAGCAGCCCCCAGGCTTTTTCGGGGCGGGGGGGATGGAATTTAGAGGTGGAACCGGGATTGTTGCTGTGCGATCTTTGTTGCTCGTGCTTGAAAGCAGGAGTGAATAATGGACGAGGGTGGGTTTTCACCCCTTTTAAGAGGCCTCGATGCTTCACCCTGCTATGTCGACCTCCTCCTGTCGATTTTATCGGTCCCTGGGCGGAAATAAAAGGGAAATAATGTTTCACCCACGCTCGCTCTTGCGAAGAATCTCTTTGAATTTTTTATACTTGCTAGCCGCGAATTCTTAAATTGAAACTTGTGGTTATGCGCGATCGTATCTCTTCGTTAGTATCTTCGACTTATCAAAGATAAGTCATCCTGTTTAGCGACAAAATTTTATATAGAGATTATATATTGCCAAGAGGAAATTGCAATACTGTGAGAAATACTGAAGAAAATGTAGAATAAACGATGCAATTAAGAATTAACAGAGCAAAAATTAATTTTGCTCTGAAAATAATTATAAAAGAAATATGAATACATAAATTTATTATGTAAATTTATACTGTAATTTTGAAGGAAATACATTCTTTATATTAACATAATTATATTCTTCTTTCTTTAGTATATTAAATTATAATTGAATTATAATTTTGTTACTCATTACCTTACTGTTTTTAATTCGATAATAATTCGAACAATTTTTGATACATATATTCTAGCCTTTTGTGCGAGAGAGAAAAAGAGCGAGATAAAATTCTGGGATTTTTTAGTATGAATGAGATATTCCATTTTTCTGCAAAGAGCAATTTCAGTAATGCAAAATTTGCATCCCTCGCATTGCCAACCCCTATTTGCGGAATTCCCGGAGCGTGATGCTGTGTAAACGTGGGGAGAAACCATTTAACGGAGATCGTTTCTCCTTCGGTGATCATTTAACGTGCGTTTCAAGGGAAAAGAGAGAGGGTTGGCAATTATTGCTTCAGGAATGCTTTTACCCTTCACATCAAACGTCGAGATTTCTCGACCCTCGACGGGTCTCGAGTGCACAATGAGTGGCGGATAAAAATGGCGGGTTATTGGAGACGGTGGGAGTGTTTTCCGATCAAGTGACTTAACTGCATTTTGTAATAATGACTTTTCAGAGATTATATTTCTAAAATATTGCAGTTTTCTTTAACTATTTTTTTATATCTTACTTTCATATTCATTTCGATTTCATCAAATTTTGTCTCCTATGGAGATATTTAATTTGACATTTAATGTGCTGTTTTTATTTTAATATTATATTATTTATTGTTAGATATTTATTTTAGTCATTTCAATAGTATTCTATTTATTATAGAAAATGTTATTTTTACAAGAAATTTTCAGGCAGCAAAGAGAGTTGTAGGAGAATTTAATCGCTTGTTCTAGTTTTGCTTTGTTGAACTCTATCACAGCTACAGCTTTACTAAGAGTCTATTACAATGTTTGTAGTCGGTAGTAAACGTTTGCAATAAGAGTCATCCTTGAGTTGCGGTTTACCTTAGACTTCGTTCGTAACTAAACACTATCTTGTGCTATCGAACACTTGTGTCAGAAGCAAAAAAGCTCGATATCGTCGACGAGGGAAATTCTAGCTGATGGATCATCAATAAAATTATTCTTAAGTTGAAATTGAAGACTCTGATGCGATGTTGATATAAATCATTTTTTTTAAAGATCCGAGAAAAAAAACTACAAATTCAAATATGATTTTTATATAAGATTAAATTAAATGATAATATTTCTATTTCCTATACGTACTTATATATAGGAAATAGAAATATTATTTTATTTAATTTTATAAGAAAATTTGATAATATTTTTTGTTTTTAATTAAATGGGTTTATATAACGAGTTTACATGAGGTTAAACTTTATAGATTTTTATACCTTTTAAGATTAATTGTCTAAAATTAAGAAAAAAATGTTAGATCAATGCACAGAACGTTTCAATTTACTGTTATATTTGGGTGAGCAAAGTGAATCTACCTTTTATTCAAGGATGATCTGATATCGACAATGTCTGCCTGGATGTCCTCATCGTCGAGAATGTAGTTTCCTTTGAGCTCTTGCATGTCCGTCCGTTTCCGCGTGCTACCTTTGTTCGTCCACATTTTGAGCTCTTCTTTCAAACTTTTCGATTCTTTCTGACAGAATTCCGTGTGATTCGCGCGATATTCCGCCTCCAGAATAAAGATGAAAGCTCTCAACGATCTGCGGACGCGATACTAAACCATGTAACTCTGCATATAACTAAATAAATCAATAAATAAATCAGAAAGAAATTTAGTTAACGAGAATTTAATTAATAATTTTTTTTTAATTATCGCTCAAAGCTTTTGCTATCAAAGCTTTTGCTATCAAGTTAAAACCTGTGCCTGAATATTTTATACGATGTTACTAAAACGTTAAATTAAAAGTTGAAGTTAAATAATTAAAATTTTAGTTTCTTAATTGGATTGGTTTTGAGAATTTTGATGTGCATTAATATTACAAATTGCATTTATTAATAAGTTCACAGTAGAAAGCAAATATATGGAAAGAACAATTTTGTGTTGGAGTATCTAAAAATTTAGCTGGATAGAGATCTGAAAATAATTTTGTTTGACTACCGAAATAATTATGTAGAGTGCAAGCATAATGACTAAAAATCTAATTTTAGTATTATGTACTGCTGAAGCAAGTATGACAAACATGATGAAGCAATGTTTTAAACAATTTTAACGTTCTAGCAAACATCTTGAGCTATAAATTCAATAAAGTTTTGCTGAAATACTTTAGCAAAACTTGCTCTTTGTGTGTATATTTGATTTTCTCTCTTGCGTTTCTTTTGGAAAGGCAATCTTTAACTTACCATTTTTCTAATAACATCAAGGTTAAATATATTATTTAGTCATCATTTAATAGAAATTTTGTATAAAAACTATTAATTAATTTCTCTCAGAAATTTGACATAATAATACAATAAAAAATAAATGCAATAATAAGTAAGCAAAGATACGATATTTTTAATGCAAATATAAATACACATAGAATTTAAATAAGATTATTTATGACTATTAATTTATAGAATTATAATATTTTGATAAATTATAATATAATTATAATTTATCACAATATTAATTTATCAATTATTTGATAAATTTTCAGGCATTAATAAATATTTTATATAAATAATACGACGCGTTCTGTAAACACTAATTCATATTTAATCTCTTTACGACAAAATGTCTTCGTAATGAATCAGAAATGTGAGTACATTTTAAGAAATTTTTATCAAAACGCGATAAAAAATGCTAACAAACCTGCATGTCAATCTCAGCAGACCGTGGGAGCATCTTTGTTCCTGGACCACTTCCATATATCCTCCGGGGAGTTTCACAGCCTTCAGAATCCTGCCAAAGGGTGCTTGGGTGGTGGCGATGATCCTGGGCGAGAAACTGTCCGTGATCATTATAAGCAGCAACATCAGGAGACTCGTCAGGGTCGTCGCTGCCGGCCAAGCCATGATGATGGTTGATCATCACAGTGACCTGGAAGTCTCCTCACGAGCCTCGTCTCTAGAAAGAGCTCCTAAAATTAGCTCTCGAGTACCACCGCGTTCTGATAAGTCACGGAATCACTCTCTTCAGAAGGTAGACGTGCACTTTCCTTTTGCCTCTTCAGATTCTCTCACGGCCACTCGAATCGCAGTTCTGCTGTCCGGAGGTCAATGACCCTTCGGCCCTTATTCAGTATTACCCTCTTAGGTCCCAAATAACCGCGAATGGGGTTTAAGGGGAAATACGAATGCCTTTTATATAGCCATGAATATTTTCGATACTTATATCTGAAATCATAAAGTTATATACTTTTTATATCACTTTTGACTTTAATATTAAATTTTCTTGCAGATAAAAGATAATTGCGCTCTTTATCAAGATAATTGAAATTCATTTGCTAAATTAAGAGCGAAAATAATTTAATCGCGATTGTATTCCTAGAATAGCCCTGTGAAAACTCGTTTAAATGCAAAATGGCTCTGATTGTTTGAAAGATAAAATATGTACCGAAAAGAAGAGAAAGTGCATTCGTCGACGTTATTAGAGCTAGATTACTTTGCGAGACTTTCCGTTGAATGAGTGCGTTGAATCTTTGAGGTAGACCGAGGTCAAGAATTGAAGCTGGATGAATAGAAGACGGTAAAATCAGGAAAAATGAACCGAGAAAAATTGCGACAGTAAAATATATATAAAAAGAAATAAGGACTTTTGACTCTGTGCCACAAGCACGAAAAAAAATATTGAATATGCTTTGCAATGTAATAGCTTGCTATACTCGCGAGTTATATTTATCTCGCATAGCAGTTCTGAAAAAATAGAAGGAATTTTTAAATATTAGCTGCGCGTTATCTAGTACTTTCGTTCCATATTCCACTTTCAATCCTTGCCAGATTTATATATTCTTTTGAACTTTTTAAGTATAAACTATGATATTTTTCTAAATTCACGATTAAAAATTCTTTTAGAATTGTGTTAAAATTAATGACTAAAATTAAAGATGACGATACTAATAACAATCTTTTTGAATCAGATCTTTAATATAAAAACAAATATATAAAGATATTTTTTAAATATAAATTATTTTTATAAATATCGTGATTATGTACCAAGAATTAGAAATCCATTAAAATGATAATAATTCAAATTAAATAAGACAATAGTAATAATAAATTTTTTGAATCAGATTTATAAAAATAGATATATAAAAATATTCTTTTTATATATAAACATAATTTTTAACTGCAAATTATTAAAATTTTGTTAATATTTTAACATTAATATAATCTTAAACTGATTTAAAAATTTTCAATTTCAGAGTTTTGCTTGAATTTTAGTAACACAAATCTTGATCAAAACTCACTCTTAATTCTTGAGAACAGCCAGAGATCAGTATCTCGTACGTTGTGTGTCTCGAGAGCGCTCTGTAAACGATATTCTTTTTCAATCTAACAATTCTTTCGATCGTTCTCTTTCTTATTTTTAGCCGCCGACTCCTTAACTCTTCCACCACGATGTTTGTTGTAAAAGCGGTTCTGTCGCGATCAATCGATCACGGCCAAGTTCCAGGCGCAGCCACCGGGAAGACAACAGTGGCAACACGTTTTCTGTGGCGCCTCAAGGACGAGGATTAGAATAGTACGGATAAACGATTTCGTATTTAGGCACTCGCGGATGACGAAACGCGCTCTCAATTCGCCATGAAGGAGTTGCCAAACACACCGGATGATTGGTGATCAATCGCACATTCACAAATCTATTCCACTTAAATGGATGTTCAGTTCTACACACAAAATAATATATGCAAGTAATAATTATTAGTTTCAAGTATTTCAAAAGTTTATATATTCACAAATTTATTAAAGTCATCAAATTTATTCAAAATCCTAATAAGTTTAATACTTCAATCAAGATTATTGAATTGAAGCAAATTTGATTTATTTACTATATAATACCATTTCTTTGATTAATTTTATAATATTCTTAAAAGAAAATAAAGTTTTTGTTCTGAATATATAATAATAAATTTTTCTAAAATTTGTAGTAAGTATATATTTTAAGATTATATATATTATCAAGAAAATATATATTTTTTTAATAAAGATAATTATTACTTAAAAGAAAGAAAGAAAATTAAGTAATCATTTTTTTAGAAATAGAATAGTAAATTGATTTATTTATAAATTTCCAGCATACTAAGATTTCTTTAATAGAAGCCTATTGATCAAAATTTAATTATGATATTGTTTCAATAGTAGTTCAGCTGCGTTTTCAAGTCCGATAAAATTTTAGCACGCAGTTCAAAATGACTACAAATATAGTATAAATATGGTACAAATATGGTTTTGTATGTACATATCTAGTATATATATTATATATATATATATATATATATATATAATATATTTCTGATAGATATTACATTGAGAATTTTGAAGGCAAACTTCATCCGCCATTAATATCAAGTTTCAGTTCTCCTGATATCATTTTTATTAATAATTACGCTTTAATTAGTTCGAGATTTTTCACTTTAATTGATCCATTTAAAAACTTGAAAGAAAAGTGTTTCAAGAAATATACATGACACAATGTCAATGAATCTTTTTCTTTTTTTAATAGCAATTTATAACTATTAAAAAATATTCAAAAATGATCAAATATGATTTTAAAAAATGATGTTTAAGTTCGATTTTCAAAAATTTTAAGAGCATAAGAAGGCACTGTTTGAAATGTTTCGTAAAATCACATCGCTTGTGATGTGTAATATTCTGATTAATTTCCTTGCTGAAGAGTTTTAGAAGTTCTCATAAAGATCTTTAAGTCGAGCACCTTCTCAGAGAATACTATATTGATATATTGAAAAAATATCATTTTTTTTAACACTATACTTAATTGTTGGTCACTTAGTCTTGCAAATGCAAGAAGGACTCTATTCTTCAAAAAATATTGTTTCACTTAAAATAGAAATATTCTAATATCATTCGAACGACACTATTTGAATCATTTCACTTCAACAGACGACAAAAATATACTAGTAGCTGATAATTAATCCGAAAACTATAAAAATCTTCAAGATCGTCACGTTACACTTGTTTGATTAGGGCTTGGTTTATCCTGGCATTGCTCGGTGTATTAGATTTCGTAACTGAAAAAGTATTCCTTTCAACACTGCACTGGACTTTGCTGGTCTCCGCTTCAATATCCACCGGCACGAGTGGCGTAAATCGCGGCGAACACCCGCTCGAGTCGGCGATTCGTTGGCATGTGCCGTACCAAGTCGGCCTGATGATGCCTGCTACTCCACAGGCATTGATAGGCAGCCTAAGCCGTGAATTCAGCGGCTACCAACTAGTCGGCCTGCGAACGAGCGAGCAGCACGGAAGCGGTCGGTGGTAGTTTCGGGGGGGAAGCTACCCTACTACACGCGTGCAGGGACTCGGGGGCCTTTCGTACCCTTATGCCGTAGATTCGTACCCCCGTGCTGGTTTTCGCGCTCTGCCCCCTCGTTCGATCCGCTCGTCCCTTTGCCTTCCGATGCCACGCCGGTTCCCTTTCTTCTTCATCGACGTTGATCCCAGACAGCTGAGGTCGGCAGCTGAAGATTTTCGGGTTTTCGTAAGGATCGCGCAGGTGCCACGTGAGATCAATGAGGAATAGAAATATTGAGAAATAATTCTCTAGACACAATGATGCGATTGCACATGATATTTCATTTAATTCTGTCGATTATTGTTTGAAGAATTTTATTATTTTGTATCACTATTTCAAGTTTAAAAGAAAATATTATATTGCTACACGCTGAAAAAAATGCGAAATAACTGCCAAATGTATTTTATTTAGTGTGTAATATCCAATATATATAGATTATATTGATATAATACTTAATTAAGGAAGAGAAGAAGTCCTGGTATTCCATTTTGTTTTATTAAAATATCTCGATAGATATTCATGTGACGTAACTACTTTTAGTTTAAGTCTATTAGCCATAGAGTAATAATAATATTACTAGTTATGTTATAGGTAGAATTTTTCATATGTGTACGTAATTTATATAAAAAACTAAAGAAGGGAAAAGATTGCGATTATGGAGGGGAATATGAAATACCACTAATATATAGTATAACTTTATATATAGTATAACTTTATTTTGTGACCGAATTTAATTCAATTATATAATTTGAAAGTCACTTGCACTCATTTGCTTAAAATTATATTACATTCTTAAGTTTGTGTCAAAATAAAGCAATGAAAGCTGAATATGATTTAATTTAACTCACGATAGAAAGTTCCTAGTTTGATTAGTTAAAGCGAGAGAAAATTTATATTGTACTTTCATAAATCTATATTGTACTGTCAGCGGCAATTTTACGGGAAACGTCTTTCAAACTCTTAAATAATCACAATCATCGAAAGAAATGATCATTTTCGGAGAGATTAGTCACTCTTCTCTATTGGTTAATGTCTTTCTTCGTCCTGCAATTCGAATTCTATTATTCGATACAAAGATTCTGATCATCATCGATCTATTGTGATCGGCACGCGCGTGCTCGTAAACGCGCATCTGCATCTCCACGTGACGAAAATCGTCGAGCTCCGTCTCGTTTCGGATGTACACCGGTTGTCATCGATCCCTATTGTCCCTGAATCGAGAAAGGCGCTCCGGAGTGCCTTGAGATCATTTTTCTCAGCGAGGAACAGAATCGAGGATCGTGATACGCAAGAAATTACATCTGCTAGCGAACACGTGCTATCCTTTTAAGAGGGGTAAAAAAAACTTAAATTTATCATAAATCATCTGTAAATCATTAGTTAAAAATTAACATTTTACATATGGAATACTTATTATTTTATAAATGAAACTATTATTTCAGCAATCGTAAAGACATGAAAAAATGTCTAAATAAATTAAAATCATACTTACATAGAAGGACTTATTTAAATTTTAACGCAATAATGTAATATATAAATAAAAA